ACCTATTACTTGTTCCTTTGCAGCCTACGCATGCTGACGCAGCTACCCACCTGATAAATTGTACATGTACTACAACATTGTTATTTAATTTGTTTAAATCTATAGATGAAAACAAACAGATTAAATCAAAACAAAATATCAGTACCATTGTTATAGTATAGGTTTGAACGAAGTACAGTATATGACCTTGCTAAAAAGTGTCTGAACAAACTTCTCGTCTGGCTCAAGTCAGACAAATGGACATAGGCTCCATGGGTCTGTTCTGCAAAGACCATTCCTCTCTCCAGAGTAGACAGCCCACTGCTACAACCCCAGTGTCTCCTCTATCGGGTAAGAGGGAGCGTAGGTAAAAGAATAGATATCTGGTTATGGTGTGTTCTTTCAAGATGGAGGCAACGAAGAGTGGGATATTGTAAGAGGGATAAGACTATCAATCCTATATTCCCAATTACTTTCCAAAAATTCAGTTTTGTAGGTAACATTAATCAAATGTGCTAAGAACCAAGAATAGCTGTCAAAAACAGTTCAAAACACAATGATGTTGTGTCCAGTGCCAAGATGTTCTAAAAGAGGAGAAAAATGAAAGGCAAATCATTTAGTTTCTCAACATGTACCAGGAGACATAGAGAATGGGTTAGAAAAGAGGTATAAGAAATAAAAGATAATCCAAAAAGAACTTTAATATACTGAAATCATTTATATATCATCTGTATAGCAACATATATTCACTTCAAATACATATACATTTTCTTAAATGATATCTGAAATACATAGTGATTTACATAATGTCACCACCTTGAGTTGAGGCAGGGGTCTTCAATTAAATAAATATATGACATTTGCCATGACATAGTAATCAACCCTCATTTGCCCGGATTTGCAGGAGAAATGAAACTGTTTGCAAAGGTGGTGAAGGAGAACACCGGACCCTTAATGAAAAACAGGTCATGTTGGGCTGCATCTTGGCACGGTACAATGATGATGGGATGTTTTTAGAGTTACTACCCTGGAACTTTCCATTTGAGTCCTGTGGTTTGCACTTCATTCTTGATTCTGTAGAATCTATAGTGCCTTCGAGGATTTTTCACAGATTCATTTTTTTAATTAGTCAATGTAGCACATTTCTTCGAACCCAGAAACTTGACTGACATTAAAACAGAAACAACTTTTATGTACAGTATCATGATGAAATACCAAATACTGACCGAAATAGTATGCATTTCATCCTCTTTCAATGGAGCCTTATTTTTTTGTTCCTATTTTAATAAATGTCAAAATGCAAGCCACCATCACACAAAAAATTCAGGTGCTGCTTTCAGAGCTTGCTATCTGTGTGTCTCGGTCGACATATTCTATGTGACAGCCTTGTCTGCTTAATTAAACAAAAATAATATTTTAAAAAGACTAATCATAGCATTATATATCAGTGCATCCTTCTAACTTAATCTTTACTGAAGTATATCTTAACTTTGTGAATAGGAGAATATGAATTGAGAATTAAACCCATTCTAAAAAAGGAAGTATGCGATTTAAGTTTAGTTGCATAATGCTACATCCCTGTAAAACTGACTTAGATATTTCAATTAGCAGTGTGTTTCAAGAGGTGTGGGATTAGTGATAAAGTTTTTTTTTTAATATCCTGGATATTTAATAAAGTAATTTGATGCCCAGCCATTTACTTTAATTGCATATATTAAAATGAAACTCTCCTGTATTTGGTAGAGGACTCCTGTCACTGCACGCTTCTGTGTTCACAGTGTTAAGAAGAGGAATTTGCTTCAGAAGTGATAGTACCTCACAGTGTTATAGTTCAGTTTTGATATGAACACTTTAATTAATTTGAGTTAATTAAAGGTAATTTTAATAATCCCTCCCTTTCTCTCTTTTTTATGTCTTTGCATTCTTTTGTCCTTATAACTGACTGATACACAATACTCGAAGTGTGTAAAGTGTGTGACCAATTTCTCTTTTGAGTTGTAAGGTGAATTTGCTAAATGTCACCAACAGATGGCATCAGGACTTCACAGGGTTTCTGTAGCAGTAGAGCAGAATGTTGAGTAAATATATAGGGCAGGCTTACAATTGGGTATTGTATCTGTATACTGTACTTGCAGACGATACCTGTGAACTTGATTAGTTATTAACTAAAATTATATTCTGACCCACATTAACACTGAGCATTGGAATCTCTTTAGGATCTAAAGTACTGGACTGACATTCCTGTGTTGAGCTTGATTAGTTATTAACTGAGATTAGAATCCATTTTGTAATTTTTAATTAAGTGTGTCACCTTTTGTTGTCAAAGCTAACTAGGAGCTGCCAGAATCCTGCTCGTGCACTCTCAGAACTGCATGTCTTATCTCTTTGCCCAACGACATTAATTTTCTAGGGCTCTCTACACAGAAATTACACAGAAAGGGCTTCCCCTTTCTGATTCTTTGTCTCTCCCTCTGTTTCACCTCCCTTTCCCCTCCTGGTTTTTCTTCCCCTATTATTTACATGGTTTTTCTACCTTTTCACTGTCCTTC